AATTTGCATGATGAAGTTGCAGTTTAAAATGTAAACAGAATATTTCACTTCTGTACTGAGGGGAATGGAGGGATGAATTGTAAAGACACAGGGTAAATAAAGGAAGAGCTAAAGAATCCACTCTTTCACATAAAACAAAGCTGGCTTGAAGTGTGCAAGGAAATTATTCCTTTTTAAGAAGCACTAACTGCTTTTAGAAGTACCCCATTTCACTAAATAGAGGGCACTGATCTTAATTCACATCATTATTTTCCCCACGCATCTTAGATACTCAGCCGAAGAAAGATGAAAACCATCATCAGAACACATGGCAAGCGAGGAATAAGAAGATTGAGGGTCAGGATACGCTAATGTCCTTTTACAAAAAAGATGATGAGTTAACATGAAGCTGCTTTTCAGCCATGCTGGGTTCAACATAGAAACCATGAGTCCCAGGCCAAACTGGACTGAGGTGGGGGAAATATTTTGATTTTACAGCCCGACTAGATGGTAACACAGAGGTCATCAAAGTCTTTACAGAGTTCTCATAGGTCTCTGCTTTTGAGGGTTCCTCAACTCCCCCTTGCCTTTTTTTTTTTACTTGTCTCCTAAAGCACACTTGAGAGCATGGAAAATAAAACAAACTTGTTTTATGATGACCTCAGCTGGTAGCAAATTGAATTCAGTTCATCATTCAAAGGAAGCTACTACATTTTAAACGATAGTCTATAGAAATGCAAGATAATTTTAGGAGAAATTCACACAGAAGAAAGTCAGTGCCTTTACAAAGCAAATCCCTCTTTCGTCTCTGTTGTTTTACTGCATTATTTGCTACAAACTATTTACTCCAAAGAAAGGAATAATTTATTTGCTGAACATTACGTTATTTTAAAGGCTACATGTGATTTTATATGCCGCCAAAGTAAATGAGATAGGTATTTCTATTAATCCAATTTCTAATACACATTTCTCTGCCAATATTCACTGTAAATATAATTTCAGTTGCATCAGGCGAACTTGCCCTATTCCTTAACTTAGACAAGACTGTAAATGAAAACAGCAGTTGTCCATAGCTTGTATTATCTCATTTTAAATAACGAAAAGGAACCCAGCTAATGTATATAAGAAAACAATACTCACTGATATCCCTTTTCATGCTATTCTCTCAGGCAGCATAATGTCTCCCGTGTAACATTAACTGCTGAGAAAACACCTAAAACAAGGAAAAACTGGCTACAGGCAAGCTCTCTAAATCCAATCATCAATTTGCGGTTTACCTGCATTCAAACTTCGAGCTGACACAACACAAAACAGTCAAAGAATTTCTGAAAAATATATGTAAGTAACAGCAAAAACATTCATGATAACTTCTAAGGCCAGCTGCTTATTAAGGAAACCCTGCTTTTAAAACTGTTTGAAAATTTTAACAGTGTTTCACCTGGTAACTGGCAGACTCCACCACTTGCTCTGCTTAGCAGTCACAAAAATCCCAGCCCGCAAATATTCATGTGCATGTTTCCCAAGGAGTAGTACATGCCACCGTTATGGAATCACAGGGTAATTTAGGTTGGAAGGGACCTCGGAGGTCTGTGCTCTAAACCTCTGCTCAAAGCAGGGCCAAAGCAGATCCATTTGCTCAGAGCTCTGTCCAGTCAAATTCTGAGTATCTCCAAGGGCAGGGACTCACCACCCCTCTGTGCCCCGTTGCAATGTTGGGCTACCCTCATTGTGAAAACTTGCTTTGTAATATTTAACCAGAACTTTCCTTGTTGCAACTTGCTATGTACTCTTCTAAGTATTTGGAGAACTAAGCTCTTTATCCCTTCACATTTCAGTTTAAGCTCCCCTAGTGAGCAAGACGGGTATAAGTCACCCTTCTACTCCTTACCTGTTATAATCTGGCCGTTCCAAGCAGGAGGTATGCAAATCACCTGAATAAGAGAAGCGAATTTGTGCACTGAATGTATTGCTACAAGGAAACCAGTCAAGCGAAAAGTTCAACACAATGGCTTGAGCAGATTCCAAGAAAGTCTAATAAAAGAAATGCCGTGTTTTATCTTTACCCCTCCTGCAAATATTAAGCTACAGGAATGCATTTTTTTAAAAAAGCATTTTTTTAAGTTATGAGGTAAGTATATAACAGATATATATAAGATGACCTTGTAATAAATTATAAAAGCGGCACGACATACCACTGTAATTAAGGGAACACTTGCAACTGTGCAAACTCTACGCCTTAGGCTCTAGCAGTAATATGACTTTTTCTTTTATTCTGCTTTTCGGTTCTCCATATGTGCCTGGTATAGGCCTTGATGCTGAGAAGTATTGATTACTCTCCATTTCTATTGGCAGTAATTAACAGAGAGAGATTTGATGCTCATTGAAGTGAACAGATTCTCATTAAGAGCAGAAGAAAAGATCTCCCCTGTCTTCACATTTCATTCCCTCTATACCGTGTGGTAAACTGTCAAGCACAAGGAAATAAATTTCTCATGAGTCTTCTGGGTTTTCATGCTGCAAGTATATTTGAAGTATTTCCATGTTTATGCTTTGCTATGCAGAGTCCAAATGACCTGGTTTCATCACTGATTTTGGACTGCTTCTACATAAACGCCACCTTTCATGACAAGTAAAGCTGGCACCTGTTTTGATGATGGGCTTATGGGAAGAAAAGTCTGGTCTCCAGAAAAGACCCAGCAAGTCCAGGCCAATAGTTTCTGGGGCTGACCCTCCGCCGGCACGGGGCTGGACCTTGGTTCCGCTGTTTCACGCCCATCTATCCGGTACGGGGAGGTAACGCTGTCCTGACCTCAGGCCTTTACTGTCAGACTTCACTATCTGAGGGGTGCACCGCACTTAAAAAGCCTCTGGTGAAAGAAGATGTAAAAGTACGGCCGTCAGAATGAATTCTTCTATTTCCTATTTATGTTTTATGTATTAAATTAGCTAAAGAAAGGTGCCCACGCCTACAAGGCACCCTGTGGCCTGGTCTCCAGACCACCCAGGGCCCTCCCGGCCGCCTGGCGCTCCCAGCACCACCACCCTCCGTCCCCACGGGTGCCCTCCAGCCCTGCCAGGGAGAGGAACGCTTCCCCCCGGCCTCTGCCCACCCCGCAACGGGGGAAGCCCTCTCGCCTCCCCGGCCGCAGGCCCACGGGGAGAGCCGTCCCCTCTCCACGGGGGCAGCGACACGCTTCCTCCTCACCCCCCGGCAGGTCCAGGTCCCTGCTCCCCGCTCCCCACACGGGAAGCCATCTTCTCCCCCCCACCCCCGTCCCGGCAGGCAGCGCTGGGCCGGTTTCCTCACACCCCAGCGTCGCAGCCCCTCGCCGCTGAGGAGGCGGCGGGACGGGCGGCACGGAGCCTCCCCGCCTCCACCGGCGGCTGCCCCGGCTCCCTCCCCCCGGGCGCTGCCCGCCGCCGGGCCCGCCTGAGAGAAGGTCTACCGGCCGCTCCCGGGCATCTTCCCGCGGAGGGGCAGGGAGTGGAGGCCGGACCCAGGCGCGGCGGGATCAGCGGCGGGGAAAGCGAGTGCCGGCGGCGGGCGGGGAGAGGCGGACTCAGGCGCTGCCTGCTCCCCCTTTCCCGCCGCGAACCGAGCGGGGCAGCGGGGTCTGCGGACACCGGGGACCGGCGCAAGCTCCCTCCGAGGTGCCGCCCCAGCTCCGGCGGGCGGGCGGCTGTCCGCCGGGGCCACGGCGGTCCCCAGAGCGGCCCCCGCCCCGCTCCCCCTCACACATTTATTCCCGCCGCCCCGCTCAAACGGCCGGTGCCCGTTTGAACGCGCTGGGTGGGTCCCCCTCCCCCTTCCTCTCTCTGGAAAGTTGCAAGAAGTTGGGCTGTTTGGTTTTTGGGGGTGGGATTTTTTTTTTTTTTTTTTGTTCTTTTTCTTTCAAATTCCCCTGCCCAACCCCTTCGCCCTCCCCATGGCCAGGTCCCCCGGGCGCTAGCAGGGCGGGCCTGGGG